GTGTCTGTGTGTATATCTGTGTGTGTGTCTGTGTGTATATCTGTGTGTGTGTCTGTATGTATATCTGTGTGTGTGTGTCTGTATGTACATCTGTGTGTGTGTCTGTGTGTATATCTGTGTGTGTGTGTCTGTGTGTATATCTGTGTGTGTGTATCTGTGTGTGTGTCTGTATGTATATCTGTGTGTGTGTGTCTGTGTGTATATCTGAGTGTGTGTCTGTGTGTATATCTGAGTGTGTGTCTGTATGTATATCTGTGTGTGTGTCTGTGTGTATATCTGAGTGTGTGTCTGTGTGTATATCTGAGTGTGTTTCTGTATGTATATCTGTGTGTGTCTGTATGTATATCTGTGTGTGTGTCTGTGTGTATATCTGTGTGTGTGTCTGTATGTATATCTGTGTGTGTGTCTGTGTGTATATCTGAGTGTGTGTCTGTGTGTATATCTGAGTGTGTGTCTGTATGTATATCTGTATGTGTGTCTGTATGTATATCTGTGTGTGTGTCTGTATGTATATCTGTGTGTGTGTATGTGTGTATATCTGTGTGTGTGTATATCTGTGTGTGTGTATATCTGTGTGTGTCTGTGTGTATATCTGTGTGTGTGTCTGTATGTATATCTGTGTCTGTAAGTATATCTGTGTGTGTGTCTGTATGTATATCTGTGTGTGTGTCTGTGTGTATATCTGTGTGTGTGTCTGTATGTATATCTGTGCGTGTGTCTGTATGTATATCTGTGTCTGTATGTATATCTGTGTGTGTGTCTGTGTGTATATCTGTGTGTGTGTCTGTGTGTATATCTGTGTGTATGTCTGTATGTATATCTGTGTCTGTATGTATATCTGTGTGTGTGTCTGTATGTATATCTGTGTGTGTGTCTTATGTATATCTGTGTGTGTATGTGTGTATATCTGTGTGTGTGTCTGTATGTATATCTGTGTGTGTCTGTGTGTATATCTGTGTGTGTGTGTCTGTGTATATATCTGTGTGTGTGTCTGTGTGTATATCTGTGTGTGTGTCTGTGTGTATATCTGTGTGTGTGTCTGTATGTATATCTGTGTGTGTGTCTGTATGTATATCTGTGTGTGTGTCTGTGTGTATATCTGTGTGTGTGTCTGTGTGTATATCTGTGTGTGTGTGTATATCTGTGTGTATATCTGTGTGTGTATATCTGTGTGTGCCTGTGTGTATATCTGTGTGTGTGTATATATCTGTGTGTGTCTGTGTGTATGTGTGTATATCTGTGTGTGTGTGTGTAACTGTGTGTGTGTATGGTGTGTGTCTGTGTGTATATCTGTGTGTGTGTCTGTGTGTATACCTGTGTGTGTGTATATCTGTGTGTGTGTCTCTAGGGCAAGGGTGGAGAGTGCTGGGTGTTGTGGTCCAAGATCGCCTCCTAATCCTCACTCCCTGCAGAGTTGGAGGGGAAGCGATTGGGGAGCGTCTGTGGTGTGTGATGTGTGTGGTGTGTGTGTGTAGTGTGTGTGTGTGTAGTGTGTGTGTGTGTGTGTAGTGTGTGTGTCTGTAGTGGTGTGTGTGGTGTGTGTGTGTGTGGTGTGTGTAGTGTGTGTGTGTAGTGTGTGTGTGTGTGTAGTGTGTGTGTAGTGTGTGTGTAGTGTGTGTGTGTGTAGTGTGTGTGTGTAGTGTGTGTGTTTAGTGTGTGTGTGTAGTGTGTGTAGTGTGTGTGTGTAGTGTGTGTGTGTGTGTAGTGTGTGTGTGTGTAGTGTGTGTGTAGTGTGTGTGTGTAGTGTGTGTGTGTAGTGTGTGTAGTGTGTGTGTAGTGTGTGTGTAGTGTGTGTGGTGTGTGTGTGTGTGTGTGTGATGTGTGTGTGTAGTGTGTGTGTAGTGTGTGTGTGTAGTGTGTGTGTAGTGTGTGTAGTGTGTGTGTAGTGTGTGTGTGTAGTGTGTGTGTGTAGTGTGTGTAGTGTGTGTGTGTAGTGGTGTGTGTGTGTAGTGTGTGTGTAGTGTGTGTGTGTGTAGTGTGTGTGTGTGTAGTGTGTGTGTGTAGTGTGTGTGTAGTGTGTGTGTGTGTGTAGTGTGTGTGTAGTGTGTGTGTGTGTAGTGTGTGTGGTGTGTGTGTGTGTGATGTGTGTGTAGTGTGTGTGGTGTGTGTGTGTGATGTGTGTGTGTAGTGTGTGTGTAGTGTGTGTGTGTAGTGTGTGTGTAGTGTGTGTGTGTGTGTAGTGTGTGTGTGTGTGTAGTGTGTGTAGTGTGTGTGTGTGTAGTGGTGTGTGTGTAGTGTGTGTGTAGTGTGTGTGGTGTAGTTTGTGTGTAGTGTGTGTGTGTAGTGTGTGTGTAGTGTGTGTGTGTGTGGTGTGTGTAGTGTGTGTGTGTGTAGTGTGTGTGTGTAGTGTGTGTAGTGTGTGTAGTGTGTGTGGTGTGTGTGGTGGTGTGTGTGTAGTGTGGTGTAGTGTGTGTAGTGTGTGTGTGTAGTGTGTGTGTGTGTGTGTAGTGTGTGTAGTGTGTGTGTGTGTAGTGTGTGTGTGTGTAGTGTGTGTGTGTAGTGTGTGTAGTGTGTGTAGTGTGTGTGTGTGTAGTGTGTGTGTGTAGTGTGTGTGTGTAGTGTGTGTGTGTTGTGGTGTGTGTGTAGTGTGTGTGTGTAGTGGTGTGTGTGTAGTGTGTGTGTAGTGTGTGTGGTGTAGTTTGTGTGTAGTGTGTGTGTGTGTAGTGTGTGTGTAGTGTGTGTGTGTGGTGTGTGTAGTGTGTGTGTAGTGTGTGTGTGTAGTGTGTGTGTAGTGTGTGTGTGTAGTGTGTGTGTGTAGTGTGGGTAGTGTGTGTGTGTAGTGTGTGTGTATGTGTGTGTGGTGTGTGGTAGTGTGTGTAGTGTGTGTGTGTAGTGTGTGTGTGTGTAGTGTGTGTGTAGTGTGTGTGTGTAGTGTGTGTGTGTGTAGTGTGTGTGTGTAGTGTGTGTAGTGTGTGTAGTGTGTGTGTAGTGTGTGTGATGTGTAGTGTGTGTGTGTGTAGTGTGTGAGTGTGTGTGTAGTGTGTGTGTGTAGTGTAGTGTGTGTGTAGTGTGTGTGTGTAGTGTGTGTAGTGTGTGTGTAGTGTGTGTGTAGTGTGTGTGTAGTGTGTGTAGTGTGTGTGTGTAGTGTGTGTAGTGTGTGTGTAGTGTGTGTAGTGTGTGTGTGTAGTGTGTGTGTAGTGTGTGTAGTGAGTGTGTGTGTAGTGTGTGTAGTGTGTGTGTAGTGTGTGTAGTGAGTGTGTGTAGTGAGTGTGTAGTGAGTGTGTAGTGTGTGTGTAGTGTGTGTGTAGTGAGTGTGTAGTGTGTGGTGTATGTGTGAGTGTGTGTGTAGTGTGTGTGTAGTGTGTGTAGTGTGTGTGTGTAGTGTGTGTGTAGTGTGTGTGTGTAGTGTGTGTGTGTAGTGTGTGTAGTGTGTGTAGTGTGTGTGTAGTGTGTGTGATGTGTAGTGTGTGTGTGTGTAGTGTGTGAGTGTGTGTGTAGTGTGTGTGTAGTGTAGTGTGTGTGTAGTGTGTGTGTGTAGTGTGTGTAGTGTGTGTGTAGTGTGTGTGTGTAGTGTGTGTGTAGTGTGTGTAGTGTGTGTGTGTAGTGTGTGTAGTGTGTGTGTAGTGTGTGTAGTGAGTGTGTGTGTGTAGTGTGTGTGTAGTGTGTGTAGTGAGTGTGTGTGTAGTGTGTGTGTAGTGTGTGTAGTGAGTGTGTGTAGTGAGTGTGTGTGTAGTGAGTGTGTAGTGTGTGTGTAGTGTGTGTGTAGTGTGTGTGTAGTGAGTGTGTAGTGTGTGGTGTATGTGTGAGTGTGTGTGTAGTGTGTGTGTAGTGTGTGTAGTGTGTGTGTAGTGTGTGTGTAGTGTGTAGTGTGTGTGTAGTGTGTGTAGTGTGTGTAGTGTGTGTGTAGTGTGTGTGTAGTGTGTGGTGTATGTGTGAGTGTGTGTGTAGTGTGTGTGTAGTGTGTGTAGTGTGTGTGTGTAGTGTGTGTGTAGTGTGTGTGTAGTGTGTGTAGTGTGTGTGTAGTGTAGTGTGTAGTGTGTTCACGTGAGTGTGTGTAGTGTGTGTTCACGTGAGTGTGTGAGTGTGTAGTGTAGTGTGTGTGTGTAGTGTGAGTGTGTAGTGTGTGTGTAGTGTGTGAGTGTGTGAGTGTGTTCACGTGAGTGTGTGAGTGTTCACGTGAGTGTGTGAGTGTGTGAGTGTGTTCACGTGAGTGTGTGTGTGTAGTGTGAGTGTTCACGTGAGTGTGTGAGTGTGTTCACGTGTGAGTGTGTTCACGTGTGAGAGTGTTCACGTGAGTGTGTTCACGTGTGAGTGTGTTCGCGTGTGTGTAGTGTGAGTGTGTTCACGTGAGAGTGTTCACGTGAGTGTGTTCACGTGTGTGTAGTGTGAGTGTGTTCACGTGAGAGTGTTCACGTGAGTGTGTTCACGTGTGAGTGTGTTCACGTGAGTGTGTGAGTGTGTGATTGTGTTCACGTGTGAGTGTGTTCACGTGAGTGTGTGAGTGTGTGTGTGTGTTCACGTGTGAGTGTGTTCACGTGAGTGTGTGAGTGTGTGAGTGTGTTCACGTGTGAGTGTGTTCACGTGTGTCACGTGTTCACTGACCAGTGTGTCACGTGTTCACTGACCAGTGTGAGAGTGAAGGCTGCCTGTAGGGCCGCGTGCCCCAGGGGCAGCGTGAGACTGCCCACTTGTGTGTAGTGTATAGTGTAGTGTAGTGTGTAGTGTATAGTGTAGTGTGTGTGTATGTAGTGTAGTGTGTTCACGTGTGTCACGTGTTCACTGACCAGTGTGTCACGTGTTCACTGACCAGTGTGTCACGTGTTCACTGACCAGTGTGTGTGTGTTCACGTGTGTCACGTGTTCACTGACCAGTGTGAGAGTGAAGGCTGCCTGTAGGGCCGCGTGCCCCAGGGGCAGCGTGAGACTGTCCACTTTTGTAGTGTATAGTGTAGTGTAGTGTGTAGTGTAGTGTGTAGTGTAGTGTGTAGTGTAGTGTAGTGTGTAGTGTGTAGTGTATAGTGTAGTGTAGTGTGTGTGAGTGTGTGTGAGTGTGTGTCACGTGTTCACTGACCAGTGTGAGAGTGAAGGCTGCCTGGAGGGCCGCGTGCCCCAGGGGCAGCGTGAGACTGTCCACTTGTGTAGTGTATAGTGTAGTGTATAGTGTATAGTGTAGTGTGTGTTCACGTGTGAGTGTGTTCACGTGTGTCACGTGTTCACTGACCAGTGTGAGAGTGAAGGCTGCCTGTAGGGCCGCGTGCCCCAGGGGCAGCGTGAGACTGCCCTGGGGGCAGCCGCTGGCACCCCCCAGGGCCACTGCGGCGTCAGACGCCGACATGGCGAGAGAGGGGACCGCAAACACCACCAGAGCCACTGTGGGGGGCAGTGGGGGGCAGTGGGGGGCAGTGGGGCAGGGGGGGGCAGTGGGGGGCAGGGGGGGGCAGTGGGGGGCAGGGGGGCAGGGGGGGCAGGGGGTGGACAGTATCATCATGAGTGGGTGATTGTGTAGGTGAGTGGGTAGCTGAGTGAGTGGGTAGGTGAATGGGTAGGTGAGTGGGTAGGTGAGTGGGTAGGTGAGTGAGTGTCTGAGTGAGTGGGTAGGTGAGTGGGTAGGTGAGTGGGTAGGTGAGTTGGTAGCTGAGTGAGTGGGTAGGTGAGTGAGTAGCTGAATGAGTGGGTAGCTGAGTGAGTGGGTAGCTGAGTGAGTGAGTGTCTGAGTGAGTGGGTAGCTGTGTGAGTGAGTGGGTAGCTGGGTGAGTGAGTAGCTGAGTGAGTGGATAGCTGAGTGAGTGGGTAGCTGGGTGAGTGGGTAGCTGGGTGAGTGGGTAGCTGAGTGAGTGGATAGCTGAGTGAGTGGGTAGCTGGGTGAGTGGGTAGCTGAGTGAGTGGATAGCTGAGTGAGTGGGTACCTGGGTGAGTGGGTAGCTGAGTGAGTGGATAGCTGAGTGAGTGGGTAGGTGAGTGGGTAGCTGAGTGAGTGTATGAGTGAGTGGGTAGCTGAGTGAGTGGGTAGCTGAGTGAGTGGGTAGCTGAGTGAGTGGGTAGGTGAGTGGGTAGCTGAGTGAGTGTCTGAGTGAGTGGGTAGCTGAGTGAGTGGGTAGCTGAGTGAGTGCGCAGGTGAGTGGATAGCTGAGTGAGTGTCTGAGTGAGTGGGTAGGTGAGTGAGTGGGTGAGTGAGTGGGTAGCTGAGTGAGTGAGTGGGTAGCTGGGTGAGTGGGTAGCTGAGTGAGTGGATAGCTGAGTGAGTGGGTAGGTGAGTGGGTAGCTGAGTGAGTGGGTAGCTGAGTGAGTGGGTAGGTGAGTGGGTAGCTGAGTGAGTGAGTAGCTAAGTGAGTGGGTAGCTGTGTGAGTGGGTAGCTGAGTGAGTGAGTGGGTAGCTGAGTGAGTGGGTAGCTGAGTGGGTAGCTGAGTGAGTGGGTAGCTGTGTGAGTGGGTAGCTGAGTGGGTGGGTAGTTGAGTGAGTGGGTAGCTGAGTGAGTGGGTAGCTGAGTGGGAAGCTGATTGAGTGAATGGGTAGCTGAGTGAGTGGGTAGCTGAGTGAGTGCGTAGCTGAATGAGTGGGTAGCTGAGTGGGAAGCTGAGTGAGTGAGTGGGTAGCTGAGTGAGTGGGTAGCTGAGTGAGTGTCTGAGTGAGTGGGTAGGTGAGTGGGTAGCTGAGTGAGTGTCTGAGTGAGTGGGTAGCTGTGTGAGTGGGTAGCTGAGTGAGTGGGTAGCTGAGTGAGTGGGTAGCTGAGTGAGTGGGTAGCTGAGTGAGTGGGTAGCTGAGTGAGTGGGTAGCTGAGTGAGTGAGTGTATGAGTGGGTAGCTGAGTGAGTGGGTAGCTGAGTGAGTGGGTAGCTGAGTGAGTGGGTAGCTGAGTGAGTGTATGAGTGAGTAAGTGAGTGTATGAGTGGGTAGCTGAGTGAGTGGGTAGCTGAGTGAGTGGGTAGCTGAGTGAGTGTCTGAGTGGGTGAGTGTCTGAGTGAGGGGGTGTATGAGTGAGTGAGTGAGTGTATGAGTGAGTGTATGAGTGAGTGTATGAGTGAGTGTCTGAGTGGGTAGCTGAGTGGGTAGCTGAGTGAGTGAGGGGTAGCTGAGTGAGTGAGTGTATGAGTGAGTGAGTGAGTGTATGAGTGAGTGTATGAGTGAGTGAGTGTATGAGTGAGTGTGAGTGAGTGTCTGAGTGGGTAGCTGAGTGGGTAGCTGAGTGAGTGGGTAGCTGAGTGGGTAGCTGAGTGAGTGGGTAGCTGAGTGGGTAGCTGAGTGGGTAGCTGAGTGAGTGGGTGGCTGAGTGGGTAGCTGAGTGAGTGTCTGAGTGAGTGGGTAGCTGAGTGAGTGGGTAGCTGAGTGAGTGTCTGAGTGAGTGGGTAGCTGAGTGAGTGAGTGTCTGAGTGAGTGGGTAGCTGAGTGAGTGGGTAGCTGAGTGAGTGGGTAGCTGAGTGAGTGGGTAGCTGAGTGAGTGTATGAGTGAGTGTCTGAGTGAGTGTCTGAGTGAGTGTCTGAGTGAGTGAGTGTCTGAGTGAGTGAGTGTATGAGTGAGTGAGTGTATGAGTGAGTGTATGAGTGAGTGTCTGAGTGGGTAGCTGAGTGTGTAGCTGAGTGAGTGGGTAGCTGAGCGGGTAGCTGAGTGAGTGTATGAGTGAGTGTCTGAGTGAGTGTCTGAGTGAGTGAGTGTCTGAGTGAGTGAGGGGTAGCTGAGTGAGTGTATGAGTGAGTGTATGAGTGAGTGAGTGTATGAGTGAGTGAGTGAGTGTATGAGTGAGTGAGTGAGTGTATGAGTGAGTGAGTGAGTGTATGAGTGAGTGAGTGTATGAGTGAGTGTATGAGTGAGTGTATGAGTGGGTAGCTGAGTGGGTAGCTGAGTGAATGAGTGTATGAGTGTATGAGTGAGTGAGTGTATGAGTGAGTGTCTGAGTGAGTGAGTGTATGAGTGTGTGAGTGTATGAGTGAGTGTATGAGTGAGTGTATGAGTGAGTGTATGAGTGAGTGTATGAGTGGGTAGCTGAGTGGGTAGCTGAGCGGCTAGACGGACCCACCTCTGAGCCAGGCCGGCCCTGCGTGGGGGTCCCTCACGGCGGAGTCTCGAGGGGGTCTCTCCAGGCACCGGTGGACCCCCATCCACAGCAGCGAGAGCCCCGTGCAGACGCAGAGAAAAGCGAGCACAGGGGGTGGCCTGGGGTCAGGGGGGGTAGGGGGGTGGTGGTGGTGGTGGTGATGGTGGTGGTGGTGGGGGTGGTGGTGGTGATGGTGATGGTGGTGATGGTGGTGATGGTGGTGGTGATGGTGGTGGTGTTGATGGTGATGGTGGTGATGGTGGTGGTGATGGTGGTGGTGGTGATGGAGGTGATGGTGGTGGTGTTGATGGTGATGGTGGTGATGGTGGTGGTGATGGTGGTGATGGTGGTGGTGATGGTGGTGGTGATGGTGGTGGTGGTGATGGAGGTGATGGTGGTGGTGGTGATGGTGGTGGTGGTGATGGTGATGATGGTGATGGTGATGATGGTGGTGGTGATGGTGGTGGTGGTGATGGTGGTGGTGATGGTGGTGATGGTGGTGGTGGTGATGGAGGTGATGGTGGTGGTGATGGTGGTGGTGGTGATGATGGTGGTGGTGATGGTGGTGATGGTGGTGGTGATGGTGGTGGTGATGGTGGTGATGGTGGTGATGGTAGTGGTGGTGGTGATGGTGGTGGTGGTGGTGATGGTGATGATGGTGATGGTGGTGATGGTGATGATGATGATGGTGGTGGTGATGGTGATGGTGGTGATGGAGGTGATGGTGGTGATGATGGTGGTGATGATGGTGATGATGGTGGTGGTGATGGTGGTGATGGTGATGGTGGTGATGGTGGTGATGATGGTGGTGATGGTGGTGGTGGTGGTGATGGTGGTGATGGTGGTGGTGGTGGTGATGGTGGTGGTGGTGGTGATGGTGATGATGGTGGTGGTGGTGGTGGTGATGGTGGTGATGGTGATGGTGGTGATGGTGGTGATGATGGTGGTGATGGTTTTCACTATTTCAGTTACATGTATTCAGGTACAGCCCTGTGAGCCATTCGGCTCCTGAACCGGGTGCAACAGAAACAAGCAAAAAACCCCCCTCACAAGAAAAACATCCTCGCCTGACTCCTGTGTGTGACTGTGCAAACAGAAAAATCCACGAGAGAGCGAACAACTACAAAAAAAACACAGCAAAATCTTCCAGAAAAAAAAATCACCGAACGGCTCTAACTCTGCGTGCAAAAATCCCGGTGGTATGCGAGTGAAACAACAACCACCACAACAACAACAACCACAACAACAACAACCACAGCAACAACAACCACAACAACAACAACCACAACAACCACAAGAACAACCACAACAACCACAACCACAAAAACAACAACAACCACAACAACCACAACAACCACAACAACAACCACAACAACCACAACAACAACCACAACAACCACCACAACAACAACCACAACAACAACCACAACAACCACAACAACCACAACAACAACCACAACAACAACAACCACAACAACCACAACAACCACAACAACAACCACAACCACAACAACCACAACAACAACAACAACCACAACAACAACCACCACCACAACAACAACCACAACCACAACAACCACAACAACAACCACAACCACAACCACAACAACCACAACAACAACCACAACAACAACAACCACAACAACCACAACAACAACCACAACAACCACAACAACAACAACCACAACAACAACAACCACAACAACCATAACAACAGCACCCACAAAAGACAACTTAGCTTAAAATCCGTCGGCCAAACTCCGTTACCGCGTCCGGAAAAAAAAATCAAAAACACGTCTTTCGAAATCACCCCCCACCCACACAAAAATAAAAACTCAAATCAGCGATCACCGGAGGACCCGTGACTGAAATTTCACGATGAACGACGCGAACATTCACCATCACCACCACCACCATCACCACCACCATCACCACCATCACCACCACCACCATCACCACCACGATCACCACCTTCACCACCACCACCATCACCACCACCATCACCACCATCACCATCACCACCACCACCATCACCACTACGATCACCACCTTCACCACCACCACCATCACCACCACCACCATCACCACCATCACCACCACGATCACCACCTTCACCACCACCACCACGATCACCACCTTCACCACCACCACCATCACCACCACCACCATCACCACCACGATCAACACCTTCACTACCACCACCATCACACCACCACCATCACCACCATCACCACCACCACGATCACCACCTTCACCACCACCATCACCACCACCACCATCACCACCACCATCACACCACCACCATCACCACCATCACCACCACCACGATCACCACCTTCACCACCACCATCACCACCACCACCACCATCACCACCACCACCACCACCATCACGCCAGAATCGCTCAACAGCAACAGCAGGGTCAGCATCGGCCGGAAGAATCGACGTTTTGGTTCACAATGCGCCTCTTAAAACTCAAACAAACAAACAAACACAAACGTCAATATAAACAACAACAACAACATAAGATCGTTTCGACACTCTAGCAGTCGCCACGGTGCGATGGATTTCGATGTGATCTCAGGCCACTCGAATATCAGCTTAGGCTTCAACTCGACAGCGATGTCGAGTTGAAGATCTCGCCCTGGAGCGGGATGCCAAGTCGCGGTTTCATTGTCAGTAGCATTCCAGAACCCCTGGGCGGCATCAATGGCAGAGGGCCCTTCCTTACTCCCTCCCTCCCTCACCTCCGGTTTTTGTACGGCCATGAGGAATGTGAAGAGTGACACGCGCACACATACACACAAACACACACACACACAAACACACACACATACAAACACACACACACAAACACACACACACTAACACATACACACACGCACAAACACACACGCACAAACACACACGCACAAACACACACGCACAAACACACACGCACAAACACACACGCACAAACACACACATACAAACACACACATACAAACACACATACAAACACACAAACACACACACACAAACACACACAAACACACACACACACAAACACACACACACAAACACACATACACACACACAAACACACACACACTAACACACACACACAAACACACACACACAAACACACATACACAAACACACACACACTAACACACACACTAACACACACACACAAACGCGCACAACAACAACCGCCATTCGCCACTAAGTGGCGGTGACGTCACCACGACGCTTGTGCCAGGCTATGTGCACCTTGAGGCTACCACGTGAAGTGTCGAACGCCCGCTGGCAGGAGGTCACGGGGCAGACCCAGCAGGTGCCACGGGTCGACTGACTGAGATGACTGGCTGATGCACCACCTGTGCCCCCTACTGTGCCAATCCGCTGTGCTTTAGCCACCCGGCGCTCCGCTCGTTGTTGTGAGCATCGCTCCTCCGCCCTCCGTTGTTGTTGGAGGGCGACTGCCTCCAACTGCCCAGCAGCATCCTTCACGAGCCTCCTCCACAGAGGCCGATCTTGACACCGCTGGTACCAGTCATCGGCAAGTCCACTCAGCTCCACGTCCTCCTGCACCACATCACTCCATCTCTTCTCTAGCCCGTGCCGCGCCCGCTTAGCCCCCTCAATCTGGCCGAACAAAAGATGCTTCGGCATGCGGTGGCTGGGCATGCGGGCTACATGACCCAGCCATCACAGCCTTGTCCGCCGGAGGAGCTCACCGATTGGACCTTGCCCAGATCTTTCAAGGATTTGTGAGCTCCTCACACAATCCAGTCTGGTTAAACCCAGGATGGATCGTAGGCAGGCCAGCCTAAATGTTTCTAACCGGCGAAGATGTTCCATTAGGGGGGTCCACGTTTCGCAAGCCTAGAGAAGGGAGGGAATGACCGTGGCCGAGAAGACCTGAAGCTTAGTGCGGAGTGACAGACCAGGTAGCTTCCACACAGCGTTACGCAACCGATGAAAAGATATTGCCGCTCGACTGATTCGGAGTAAGACCTCTGCTGTTAAACTGGAGCCAGTCATAAGCACACTGCCCAGGTATGGGAAACTCTCCACTCTCTCCACAACTGCCCCATCACCGATTGGGAGTTGTGGGGGTGGAGTGTCCGATGGTACAAAATACCCAGGCAGGTGCTTAGTTTTGGTGGGGCTGATGGTAAGGCCCCACCTCTTAGTGGCACGCTCCAGTCTCAGCAGCAGCGTCTCCAACTCCTCCTCTGACTGAGCAGCTATTACCAAGTCATCGGCATACATAACGTGGTTGAGCAATAGGGAGCCATCCCTTGACCGCACCCGGGCATCGATTAGCCTCCCATTATATCTGTACCATATGGAGATTCCCCCGGTACAGCTATTGAAGGCTTCACGAACTACGTGGTCAAAGTAGATGTTAAATAATGTGGGAGCCAGAGGACATCCCTGTCGCACCCCAAGGTGTACAGGGAATGGCTCTGACTCCCGGCCACGTAGTTTTACCCGGGCCCGTTCACCATCATGAAGGTCCTTAATGGTCGTGAGCAGAGGGTCAGGTACTCCAAAAGCACGAAGAACGACCCAGAGCCCAGGCCTACTGATGGTATCATAGGCCTTGACCAGGTCAATAAAGCAGAAATGTAGGTCTTGTTGGAATTCCCTACACCTCTGCTGTAGCAGACGGAAAGAAAATATGGCATCTGTGCAGGACCGCCCTTTCCTAAAACCGCATTGGGGCTCCGCAAGCCTCTCCTCAGCGTACCTGGCAAGGCGATGCTGAATAATCCTTGCCAGGACCTTTCCCGGCACACTGAGGAGTGAGATGCCCCTGTAATTGTTACAGTCTGTGCGGTCCCCCTTCTTAAAAAGGGGGACCACCAGGGCATCCTTCCAATCCTGCGGAACCCATCCAGTGGACACAGACACACACACACACTAACACACAAACACATACACTAACACACACACAGACACACACAAACACACAAACACACAAACTAACACAAACACACACACACACACTAACACACACTAACACACACACAAACACACAAACACGCACACTAACACACAAACACACACACACTAACACACACACAGACACACACGTCAGCCTGTGTCTGTGTGAGCCTGAGTCTGTGTGA